CCGCTAGGGAATTTAAATATAAATTTTATGTTATGAAATGTGTTGAAGAGCGACATCTATGTGAATAAAAAAAAACACTTCGATTGATTTTTCTTTAATTTTATTTCGACGATAATATGACAGAGCGCGTTTTACATAAATAAACAAATTATTAATTAATAAATTTTTTTTTTTTTAAATTTGGATTTCATTGATTTAATATTAATAACGGTAAGAAAATTTAATAAATTTATTTATTTATTTCTTTTCAAAAACAAAAAAAATGATAATAAGATAAAGATGTTAATAATAATAAGACGTAATTAAAATGAAAAGAAAAGGAAAAATAAATAACATGTTTCGATAATTAAAATGTTTGACGTCGGTCATCGCAAGTTATTTGATTTTGATTTAATTAAATTTATTGTCAAAACTTATTAAAAATAATATATATACATAAAATAATTTAATGGTCCTTTCATCGAGTCGTCCAGTTAAACATGGTCGTTAACTTTAGGTTCACCGACAACGTTTGATACATAAAATGATTATCATCATCATCATTCCCTTGTCGGCATTTAAAAAAAAAAAAAACATCGATACAATCTTTTTCTCTTTCTCTCTCACCACGATATTCGTTTGTAAATTTAAAACAAACAAAACAAACAGAGGAAAAAAAAGAAGTTCGAATAATTTTTTTTTTTTTTTAATAAGGTTGTCGTGTTGTTGTTGTTGTTGTTCATCGTCGTTCATTATATATATATAAAAAAAAAAGAATTTAAAAATGTTTTTAAATCTGGAATTTTCCCTAAATTAAAATAAAATAAGACAATAAAATAAAATTTAAAAAAAAAAATGTTGTTAGTTACAAATTGATCACCATATATAAAAAAACATTTTTTTTTTTTTATTTGTTTTTAAATTTTATACCTGTTTTTTTTCTAATTAGAAAAAGGTTTTACTAAAAAAGGTACTACGATCTATTATCAATATTATTCCGGTAAAAAAAAATTATTTAAACTCCCCCCCTCCCCCGGAAAAAAAAAAATAACTAAAAACAAATTTTTCGATGAAATTTTGCAATGGAAAAAAATTGTCGCGGGACGTCACTCTTACGTCATCATCGCCATTAAATAAAAATTTATTTATTTCGTTTTTTTTTTTTTTTTTTTTTTTTTTTTTTAATTAGTAGGAACGTGTCTGATTTTTTTAAGTAAATAAATAAAAAAAAAATTATGACGATTACGACGAGTAGTAGCCGGTTATATTATTATTATTATTATTATTGATATGACGATGACGTAATAAGTTTAAATACATGACGTTAATATTAAAAATGTAAAAATTAAATTTTCTTTTTTTGTTTTTAAATTTAAATTTTAATACTCAATTATTAAACAATTAAATAAAATTTATGTTTAAAAATCTGTCAAAACAATAAACAATAAAAAAAAAAAACAAAGTTTTGATAATGATGATGATGATAATAATACTAATAATAATAAAATTTAATTTGTTTTCATTTATTTATTTATTTATTTTTTTTTGTTGAAACGAGGTAAAAACTTGTTTTTTTTTTTTTTTTAAATACTTATATGTATATATAAAATTTATTGATGGAATTTAAAATTATTGGATGTTGACTGGAAAGCAGAAGACAAAAACAAAAAAAAAAAAAATTTTTTTGTCGCAAACGCGACGACAACGAACGGCGACAACAAATTTTTTTTTTATTTTATTTGTTTTAATTCATTTAGGAAAAAAGTTTCGTGTTTTTTTTGTTTTTTTTTTTTTTTTAAATTAAATTACGATGATAATGATAATGATAATGATGATGATGATGATTGCTACGATGACGATAATAATAATAATAATAATAATATAAAAATAAGAGTAAATTGAAAAACGAATAAACGAAACGAAACCAAAAGCAAATTTGATTTTTT